TATTTACTTGATCTACAAATACAAGTTGTTTCCAATATTTTTGCACTGTTCGATATACTTCCGACTATGATCTCATTTAGACTATGCTATAAATCCTAACAAAAAATAAAATGCAAATAATAAAGCACAAAAAAGGCAACATGGCGAATCTTCAAACAGTAAAGTCACGTATTTTCATATAGATGAAAAAGGAATATCATATTTGCTACCGACATAGGCGATGTCATTTTTTACTCCTTGATCTGCGGTAAGTGGGGTTCTGCTCATCCACAACAGTGTTTTTTGGTGGCAAATATAATCCATATGGTATAACATTAGCTCTTAATTTTGGTTGTTTTTCCAGATTCTCTTGCTCCTTGGTCTCAAGGCTTGTGATAAATACTGCCTCCCTTCCGGTTTAAAAGGCCCACGTGTATCCCTACATTGCTAATTTGATCAATATAATTAAATTGTATACACAAAGTTATACCATTAGAAAATAGAACATTTGAAGTTTCCAATGATATAAAACTCATATTACGTTGGTTAAATCATGGACCTAGAGATACGCGTGACCCTTATAAACCCGAAATGTGGTAGTAGATGGTGGAGACCACAAAATGAACAAGATAATGGTTGCCAACGTGCAAGACAAATCATTGCACGGGTGTATACTTAGCAAATGGCTTACGTGCTTACTTAGAAAATGGCTTGCCTTTCACTCACTTCCTGTCCTTATGATCATGCTTTTTTTTTTACAAATACGCAAATACTTTGTGTATATTGCCATTGATAGAAAGAGTTCAAGTACATTGTAATTGCAAAGTGAAGCCCTCCGAAGTGAGTTTACTGGAAGGCATTGGCGGATTTAGCATTTTTTTCACTAGTGCAATGTTTGTCCATCATACAATTTTTGGTGTAGTGTAGTGTATTTTTTTCTAGCCATTGTAATGTTGTTCATTGTTGCCTCCACATTGTCAAATCCTAGATCCGCCACTGCTAGAAGGAACAAGATCCTTACTTGAAGTGGAAAGTCCGTTAAACAATAATAATGACCACATGCAATCATTCCTCGTCCACCCAACCCGATAAAAAAATACCCAACCTTCAAACTGGTTTGTGCCATACATGTTTGCAACGGTACTATCCATTGTCCATGTTAGGATTGTGATGTTGAGGCCGTGGAGGTAGCACATGGCACATCACTCATCGATGTACAGATGGTTGATCTATTGATTTGTCTTATTGTTTAGATTCGATGTCACGATAAGTGGAGAAAGAATTATTTTTTTTGCTCACATAGACGTACAAACCCGGAGACTATGATACCGGCATGCGACATATGGTCATAACATAAAACCAGGTACACTTTAGCTACACGTAAGTCGCTTGATTCGATGCAAGTTGCGGTTGGTGCTGTTTTGAGAGACAGTGATGGGAAGTTTATTACAGCTGCAAATGAAAGAGTTGATGTGTGTTATGATGCATTCACAACGGAGGCTATTTCTTTGATGCTTGGTTTGAATGTAGCTTGCCCGATTGGCTGCAATAAAATTGCGATCAATTCAGATAATATGGATGTGATCACAACCATGCATGAGGGGAACTCTTCTTCTATCACAGGTGCGATTGTTGATGATTGTTATTTCATGTCTTTAGACTTTACCCGTCCACTTCATTACTACTTAGGAAACTTCTTTTTTCTTTTGCAAAAAATCCACTATTATATGCTTACTCTTGCATATTAAAAAATATGTAATTATGTGCACATTTTGTCATTATTCGTTTTAGATTTTTTTTCATCTTCTTTCTTCTTAAATGGTAATACCAATTGCACTAATTCTTTCTTCATTACAAAACCTCATTATTTTGACTTAGTTTTAGTTTTTATGTAACTTTTTTTCTTAAAGGGTAATTCCAATGCCACTAATTCATTATTTTTTTAGAAGAAAACTTCATTATTTTGATTTTGTTTTAGTTATTATTTTGTTAGAATACTTTATTATTTTATTTTTGAGTAGTACGGAAGTCATGGATCAAATATTGATGCCAATAATTCATTATTTATTTAGAAAACTTACTTTTGCAACAATTTCACTGTTATATAGTAATTATTTTTGCATATTATACACAATTTTTATGTAAATTGTGTGCAGATTTCATCATTATTTGTTTTAGTTATTTTCATTGTCTTAGCAATGCTAGTAATTCGCTATTCCTTAGAAAACTTTGTTTTTTGTTATTTTTTTATTTTATTATATTAGTATATGGGGAATGAGAAGGCTAGAGAAACTAGAAGTTTTTGTGTTCAGTTATGTTACAGATAGTTGCATTATATTAATTTGATTTTCAAATTTGTATTTGTTAATCCACTCCCATGATTCATTTTTCCTTACAAAGAAATTTCTTCCTTCTTTGTTTTTACTTTGTTTAAGTTGTTGGCTGACACTTCTCGCTGAATGCCTAGAAATAATGATGACATATGAAAGTATGCATCAAGTAGTGGACTTTTGGCATGCACGTAGTACATAAATAACACAACTCATAACACTAAGCAATGCACATAGTTTAAGTTAGCATGGCTCCACCTTTAGCTCATTCATGTGTCCTTCCGCTCTAATACTTTGTACGATCAACCAGACCAATCTTTTAACGTTGATGTTGGGTACGCGCATACTGTTGCCGAGTACGTATGATTTGGAGGTGACATGAATTTGGGTGCGAGTGTCACCTGATCGAGCAACACAAGGGCAAATGTGCTTTATTTTCGGTCTGGTTGCTCCAGTCTAGTGTGTTTTGCAAATCTCGATTCTGTGACTACGAACAATCTTTTTATTAAATGTTTAGCAAATTACAACTTGACACCTTCGACAAATAAGATGTCATTAAGTAAGTAGGAATATAATATAAAGTCACTCTACTTCGACGAATCACGGGCCACAAAAGGTAAAATGGTAAGCAAACCATCACTTATATATACTAAATATTTTTATCTTCTCATAGATCATTTTCTCGCTAAATATTAACTTTATTTTTTGATGATACATGCATTAACTTGCAATTCTAACCACAACCAACATTGTAACTCGAAGTGTGCTGTTATACAATCCAAATGTTTGCGCTTTCAAATATGAAGTGTATAAGTATAGCATTATTAGCCATGTGGGTTATGTTATCCCTCCGGTCTTTTGTAGTCTGCATAAAAGTTTTGTTCAAAGTAAAGTATCTTTACTTTGACCAAACATATAGAAAAAATATTAATATTCACGATGTCAATTTTTTTTAGATTCGTTTTGAAATATAATTTCATAGTATATATATTTGATATTGTAGATGTTGATAGTTTCTTATATAAAGTTGGTCAAACTTTGCAATGTTTGACTTGAATAAAATCTAATACGCGGAGTAAAAAGATCGGAAGGAGTATATATATCCACAAATGCAAGAAATACCCTAATAGAGTTTCTATAGTAAGATTTTCTAGATTAGTTGTAACCAATACCCGCTTCGTTCATAAATATAAGTCTTTTTAGAGATTTCGGCAAGGACTACATACGAATGTATATAGACCTATTTTAGAGTGTAGATTCGCTTATTTTGCTTCATATGTAATCCGCATTGGAATCTCTAAAAAGGCTTATATTCAAGAACGGAGGGAGTAGAAAATTCTAGAGTATATTTTCATTTGGTGGTTTCTTCATGATTTCCGCCCCTTCCCTCAGAAGTTGGCACCGCTCTTTGCTTCATCCTTTCCATTCTTGTCCTGGAAGGTCTGTAATCGGTGGGTGTGCATCTGTTTTTTGTCAATTATCATATCAATTTTCCAGTGCCTTACTGGTCATCTATGCATGGACATATATATTGCTAGAATCCTCGCAAGTTCATAACATTCTAGATATGATCATATGTTTAGGGTTCAAGCCAATAACATGTGCATGTGATAAGCATGGCAAAAAAACTCTTGCATTTTTTTGCCTCGAATTGTATTTTTGATTTAGGTCCCAAAGGAAGAAATTCATTGTCATGCCCCCCCCCCCCTTTTTGGCTTCTTGAAATCACCACATAAAGCAAGTTCAACCCACAATATGGCACGTCGAATGTGCCCCCTTCGTTTCTAAATATAAGCCTGGTTAGGGGCATCTACAATGCACAGATGCTAGTTGAGGCGCTTAAGATAAATAAAATAAAGATTTACTGCATAGCACAAGCGCCTGGTCGCTAGGAGCTGGATTTTATACTTTTTTTTCAAGCGTCCGACTCCTCGCTGGGCATCGATGCCAAAAAACAAACCGGGAAAAATATGGAAACTGCCAAAACTACTACTCCCTCCGTTCCAAATTAGATGACTTTCATTTGTCTAGAAACGGATGTACCTAGACACTATACAAGTATAGATGCATTCTAATGTGGACAAATGCAAGTCATCTAAATTCGAACGGAGGGAGTAGGATTTAATCCCTGGCGCCCCTTGCTTAGCGCTCGCGTTGGACTTGCCCTTAGAGATTTTAACATAGATTACATACGGAGCAAACTGAGTGAATATTAAAATCTTTAAAAGATCTTATATTTAGAAAAAGAAGAGAGTCACATCAAATGAAAACTTGTATAAACCCTCAGTTCGGTTTCGTATGCGCCTGATATAGTTTGTGCAACCCTTTATTGAGAAAAACAATTAAACGTTGCAAATTCCATAAAAACCAGGTTTACAAAAATTCCCAACCCTGTAGTAAGTACCCACTCCGTAAACTAATATAAGAGTATTTAGATCACTATTTTAGTGATCTATAAACGCTCTTATATTAATTTACAGAGGGAGTACCTAACCTCAGGCCTGGCACGAATCTTGGCGCCGCTGGCCGGGTCAAAAGTCAAACCCGGCAGCATCCGATCCCCACCCAACCCAACCCAACCCACCCCCCTCCCTACATAGCAACCGGCCTCACACTTTCCCCTTTGGCGCGTTTCCCCCACCTCGCCTCCCTCCCGTGCTCCCACCAAATCCCCCCAATTCGAACGCACCGATGGCGACCAGGTGCGCCGCCGCGGCCGATCTGCCCGCCGGCCGCCCCCGCAAGCGGGCCCGCCACGGCTGGGACGTCGCGCCAGCGACCAAGGTAAACAGACGCCCCCATTCCCCCCTGTATGCTCTGCTCTGCTCTGACCCGATCCGCGGATTCGGGGCGCGATTCGACGGAATTCCTCCGCGGTTTCGTTAGCCCTAGCATGATCAGGGCCTTTTGTTTCTGTTCCGAGGCGTAGCATGAGCTGGACGAGGCGCGGTCCGTCTAGATCTAGCTCGCGGGGGGTGTGCTTAGCGGGAATTTTGGCGCAGAATCCAACGTTTAGAGTGTCGTGTGTCTGATGCCAGACCTGCTTAGGCTGCGATTGATTGATCGAACTGCAGATACCGTTGGCTCTGCGATTGTGTAGAGCTGTTACAGGCCATCGTCGGTCAAATTAGGATGTCGGACCAAATTACCCCTGTAATTTCTTTTGTCTGTGGTTCTCTCAGGCTTTGCTTGAGTCCGGGTGCTTAATTTCGTAGAACTTTCAGCTTATCATGATGTTGTTGAATTTAGTACAATTCATGTTTAACTTGATGCACCTATATTCACTGCCTAAAATATATGTGAAATACTTGGGTGGATCTTCATTATTATCGTCTAACATACCTCGCTTCATCTAGTGAGAACTATGGATTTCATGTTCAGAATATTCGGCAGTGTATTACTGGCTCAAATTTACACGTACAAGTATCGTGTAGCATACTAAGTGTCATTTTCTTTGTTAACATGAGTGCTTTCAGGTAAGATATTTTTGCATGATGCTATAAATGCTACAGGTTTATTACTGTGTCTGTGCTTTGTTTATTTTGTGTTCCACTTGAGAACATTAACATCAGATGGGTATTATATTCTCTTTTCTGCATGAAAAACTTGAGTGATCGATGTGTGTAGGCTCAGATAACATTTTGTGGGCAAGAAGTTGGCGATATGACCACCATGGTATTGCCGTCACATCCTCCGGACTATACTTGCTTCTCTCTGCTCTCAAAGGGTGTTGCTCGAAATGCTTCCCCTCCTCGGAGAGAAGACGATAAAGATGGCCATTATGTATTTGCTGTTGGAGAGAATTTGACCTCTCGCTGTAATTACACTTGACCATCATTATTTGAGTATAATGACTGTGTTTGTGACCCTTAGCCTGCAGGAAACTTCTTTTTTCCATTTCCCTTTTCCCTTTTTAATAAAAAAATGTTTTAGCATTTGTTAAACTGCACTACAGAAAACTAGAGATGTATCTGTATGTTGAATTTTTCCATTCTGCAGACTTATGGTACCTCCTTATGTTCCTTGGTTACTCATGTAATGTTCTGTCAACAAGTACCTTAAAATCTATGATTTAACTTCTTTTACCAAAAAAAAAACAGGTTGATATAATTAGTTTCATGTTAACTCAAATTTGTTTTCCATCTTCGAATTTCCAAATAGTTTTTGGATTTCCCCTTTTCTTGTGTAGGGTTTTTACATTTGACCTTATTTCCTTGGTTTCGGGTTGTTTGAAGTCTACAAGGTTTTACATGCTGGCCTATTTTGTAGCTGCACCAGATGATGTTACTGTTATGTCTTAGTGTTAACACAAACATGTCTTTTTGCAAAGTGCATGCTAGTTATCTTTATTTGCACAAATTGTCTTAAATTATTGAGCTCCTTAGAAGGCTCTGCTCTCATACCCCTTCTCACTATTTTTGCAGATAAAATATACAGAAAGATGGGCGAAGGTTAGTATTTTCTTATGGTCACGAGTATAGATTTGTGAAATCTTAAATTAATGAACTTGTGGCACCAATGTTGCTCAGATCCACCTGATATTGTCTAGTAACTAGCTTCCATTTTATATTTACATTAACATTGGAATATCTCTGTCTGTTTAGGTACTTTTGGTCAGGTACTGGAATGTTGGGACAGAGAAAGAAAAGAAATGGTAGCTATTAAAATTGTTCGTGCTGTAAACAAATACAGTGACGCAGCAATGATAGAGATTGATGTGCTGCAGAAGCTCGCAAGAAATGACGCCACAGGAAAACAGTAAGTTATACATCTAACTCTTCTACCTCCACAAGGAAGCTAATAAATAAATAAGTACGGGATGGACTAAATTGTGTATTTATTTTTTGTGTCATGTTGCTAAAGAAATAAGTTACATACTCCTGAGTGTTTTTGCAGCTGTGTGCAAATACGGAACTGGTTTGACTATCGTAACCATATTTGTATTGTAAGTACATATGCTTGATTCATAGAATTTCCCCAACTTGTCTGTTAGACTTGGGGTCCAGTTAGTCAATAAATTTCAATGACTCAACAGGTATGCGAGAAGCTTGGCCCAAGCTTGTATGACTTTCTGCGGAAAACTGCCTACCGCCCATTTCCAATCGACCTAGTTCGTGAGCTTGGAGAGCAACTTTTGGAATCTGTCGCATGTGTGTAGAGACTGTACCTTTGAAACCTCATATATTTTGTACTTGCTTTGTTTTCTATTAAGATTCTCTATTTGTTTGCTTTTCTTTTTCTCTGTGCGCTTATTCTTCTATATCATATCTTGGACTGGGTTTTTTCTGTCATTTTCGGAAAAAATGAGTAGAAGTTTCCGCATGCATTTTTCTCTTCTCTTTTATTCCTGATTTTTAGGCTATCTGCTTTTGTGTGTATTTGGGTGCTCATAATTTGGTTCATATGCTTCCGTGTCATGTATCTTGATATTTATCTTACCTCATTGCAGTTATGCATGGCCTGAAGTTAATTCATACTGATCTAAAACCAGAGAACATTCTCCTTGTTTCTTCAGAGGATGCTAAATTAGCTGAAAACAAGGTATGTATTACCACTGCATAATACCGAATAACCGTTAAGTTGCAGGAATTTTTTCCCCTTAAAATTTGCACCATGTTCAAAGCAGATAAAAGTCGTGTTCAGTATAGTTCTGTGTTAAATACAACACGCTGCTTTATTTTTCCTAATTGTATATATGTTTAAAATCTAGGATGGATCATTCTCAAAGAAGGTGCCAAAATCAAGTGCGATCAAGTTAATCGACTTTGGTAGCACAGCATATGATCATCAAGACTGTAGCTACATTGTCTCTACTAGGCACTACCGTGCTCCTGAGGTTATTTTGGGTATGGATTTGGACATGACTGGCTATTAGGGGCACATACTTTTGATTGTTTTATCAAATACTGGAGCTGACTTTCCCTGGTCTTGTGTTAGGGCACGGGTGGAGCTATCCATGTGATATATGGAGCATTGGTTGTATACTCGTTGAGCTTTGCTCGGTATGTGTTTGTATCTCTTGTCTGTCTTTGTCTTGGGAAAGGTTCATGTGCATGTATGATTGAACTGGCCTCTTATGTATTACAGGGCGAGACATTATTCCAGACCCATGAAAACTTGGAGCACTTGGCGATGATGGAGAGGGTTCTAGGTCCTCTCCCACGGCACATGCTGGAAAGAGCCGAGTATGTTTATTAATTATCCACTACCTGTGTTATTGCCACATTAGGATCTAATGCCACCTATGTGATTAGTTTTGATGGTTGACCTTTTTGCCTTGTGTAAATTCAGCCACCATGCGCAGAAGTACATCAGAAGAGGAAGGTTGAACTGGCCAGAAGGTGCAACGACACGAGAGAGCATGAGAGCTGTTCTCAAGCTGCCTCGCCTCCAGGTACGCAAACAGGACGAGCTTCCCTATTAGTTTCTGGGGCATTCCAATTTTTTCTCGCCCTGAAATCTAGTGCCAGTGGCTCCTAAGTTTCCTTGTTTGTATTCAAGATGTATTTTTGTTTCTCTGCCGCAGTGACACGGTATTTGCTTAAGTTTGTTAGATTGTTTTATAACCACTTCATCCAATCCTGCAATGCAGAACCTGGTGATGCAGCATGTGGATCACTCTGCTGGGGACCTGATCGGGCTGCTGCAGGGCCTCCTGGCATACGAGCCTTCGGCCAGGCTGACCGCTCAGGAAGCCCTGAGCCACCGCTTCTTCAGGAGGCACCGTGAAAGGCGGTCGCTATGACCAAGCAACAATGTCCGCGGCTGACCCAAACAAACACTGACAGGAACCTATGAGGTTTGCAGGCTTGCAGCAAGGAAATAGCAAGCTTGAGAGTTGTATCTGAATCTCCCTGGATATAACAGGACAGGGAGCAGTAGCCATAGTTAAAAGTTCAGAAGAGGCTTCGTGTGTTGTGGCTTTATGTACTATAGCTGAAAGAGAATTCAAAAGTCTCATTGTCTTGTATTCAAACTCTGGTATGTTCCCTCGCAGCGGAAGCTGTGGCAAATTCGAACAAACAGTCGAAGATGTGTATGTTTATGCCCCTAGAAATGGCATGGTAAAGATCAAAGATTGTGCTGAATACTAAATGTTGTGGGTTTTTCTATTTGAGAATCCTAATCTATGAACCATATGTTTTAGATGCCATATTTAGATGTTTTGTTTCACTCTCTTTAATGATACCATGACTTTGTTCAAAGGTGTTAAAAAACAGGTTTAGTCATGGAAGCCATCCAACAGATTACATATTTCCTACTGTTTTTTGTGGTGAGGGTAGTTTTTGTGTCCACAAAATAAAGCGGATGGTATTACCAGCCAACCAAAAAGGGTCAAGATGGTTACCACTGGTAAACAATCACACAATCAAGCTTAGTTGGGTTGAATCCATGGATTTTTACGTTATTAGCATTGTTGCAAACTGCTATGTGTAAAGGAGGTGTCCAGTAAAAGGCCAGCCAACTACGACCCTGGTTGTCATGTCTCAAGAAACAGCACTTCATGTTTCTTTAAGTTACATAATAACTCTGCTTTGCAAACAAAGATTGACTACCATCTTCAGTAGAGCAGTACTTCTACTGATCTACGGTTTCCTCGGAGGTAGCAGATAGATGTCTAGGGTTTCCCCGGAAGTAGCAGATAGATGTCTGAACCTTCTCCACGATGATGCCTCCAAAAAGATATTGCCACAAAAGAGTGCCGCCATCGCCGGTCTTGGCAACAAGTTGAGAACGAGGTTTTCACCGGGATCCGCTCGACGAACCTCCATCAACCATCGTGTGTGCGGGTCACAACCGAACTGAGCCGCCGCGCAGCAACCAGGCCATACCGGCTAGATCAGATCTGCCCAGAGGCCACACTACTCATTGTGCCAACACGTCCACCAGGCCCTCCATGCCACCGCCGCCAATCCGAGGTCAGATGGCCTGTTGATGCAGATCCGGTTGCCGCCGCCTAATGCAGCCAACACCGCAGCCCGAAGCAAGGCAGGCTAGCACGCTCGCAGCCGTCGACGGTCGAGGCAGAGCCGGCCGCCGCGCCGCCAAGGCCAGATCGGCTGCGCCTCCTCACGCAGCGGGGCTTCGCACCATTCCCATGGTGGGAGCCCCCGCCACCTCAGTCGCCCCCCCTCCCCCGGCTGTAGGCCGGCGTCGTCCTTCGGCGGCGGCGGAGGGAGGGAGGGAGGGAAGGAGGGAGAGCCCCGACGGCTAGGGTTTCGTCCCCGCCTGTGTCCACGAGCGGGGGCGACGCGGGGAGCATCTTGGCAAGGCTCTCAACAAAAAAAAAGGGAGACCATGAGTGGAGCAGAGTTCAAACGTATTTTATGGCCGGACGCTTCAATAAAATTTGACAAGATACATCCTGTGGGTAGAAAACAGGTGTCGACAAAAGGAAAAAGAAGACAAGAAGCATGAGCACTACAAGAAGGCCAGGTGCTCTCTGTCGACAAGTAAAGTATATGTTTTTTCTCTGTTTTTTTGATTGATGGGAAGTAAAGTAAAAGATAGATGAGTCTTGTATTCACACTCTGGTATGTTCCTTAAGCTCGGGGAAAATTCGAACAAACCGTCGAAGCTGTGTATGTTTACGCCCCTAGAAATGGTATGGTAAAAGATCAAAGTTTGTGCTGAATAAATCTTGTGGGTTTTATTCTGTTTGAGAATCCTAAATCTTGCGGGTGATCTATGAACCAAATTCGGCACAGTAGTTTAACTGCACTTTCACTATGTTTTAGTTGTCATATTCAGATGTTTTCTTTCATTCTCTTTATTTATACCATGACTTTGTTCAAAGGTGTTGAAAATCAGGTTTAGTCATGGAAGCCATCCAACAGAATGCATATTTCTCCCCTCAAAAAGAAAAGAAAAGAAAAAGAATGCATATTCCCTACTGGCTTTTGTGTGGCCAGGGTTGTTTTTGTGTCCACAAAATAAAGCGAATGCTATTACCAGCCAGCCAAAAACGGTCAAGATGGTTACCACTGGTAAACAATCACACACTCAAGCTTAGTTGGGTTGAATCCATGGATTTTTTAAGCGCTAGCTAGTTATTAGCATTGTTGCAAACTGTTCTCTGTAAAGGAGGTGTCCAGTAAAAGGCCAGCCAACTATGACCCTGGTTGTCATGTGTTAAGGAACAACACTTCATGTTTCTTTAAGTTTCATAATAACTCTGCTTTACAAAGATTGACCCTGGTTGGTGAACACTGATCAATGATCATGTTTGCTATTTGTAGATGACGTGGGCTCTAGAATATGATCCTGGCATGTTGTCCACGTATGAAAAGAGAGCAGGCCTGCAACTGATAGAAGTGCTCAAGGATATAAACCAAGAGTAAAATCAACCCGTCAATTTGGCAAGTAGAGAGGGCGAATATGAAGAGCGCTACTAAGTGTTGACGGCCTGTGCTGGACCACTGAAACTTCATGCCAAGTACCTTAGAAAGGTAACAAACTCTTTTCACTAATACTACTCCATCTGTTTTCAAATATAAGTCTTTTTAAATATTTCAATATAAACTACATATGAATGTATATAGACGTAGTTTAGAGTGCAGATTCACTCGTTTTGCTTTCTATGTAGGCAGTGGCGGAGCCACCTCCCGGCTAGCCGGGGCAGCTGCCCGGGCTGTGCCATGCATTCTCCTTTGATCAGTAGTAATTAATGGAGAGCCAAGCATCATTTTGCATGGGCAAACAACGGCAGGCAGGAGCGTCCTGGACTTTGCCCCGGCTCACCGGCCGAGCTGGCTCGGCCACTGTATGTAGGCCATATTGAAATCTATAAAAAGACTTATATTTAGGAACGGAGAGGGTAGTATGCATCAAGTTTCAGTGAATGTGTTGACACCAGATTTTGGCACGGTCAATAACTTATTTAAGATGGCCTCAAATGGAGAAGTGATCTTCATGAAAGAGTTCTGTATTGTCGATATGAACATCTTTGAAGTTTGGGTCATCGCAGTCCGATTTCATCTCGAAGGCCGAAACTATGCTCAAAGTACTAAGATCTTATATTCAGAGTACAGTTTGGCTTATTAAGCCCCCAAGATGACCTCAAATGGAAAAATTATCTACACGGATTATCTTCGTCTCGTCGAAATGATCGATTTTGATATAAAAATCGTTCCAATCCGAGTTCGTATGCAAAAGTTAGAGCCATCAGAATACAGCCCTGTCACGAGGCAAAAACTGGCGCGCCCCACCAGACACCCTGTCTGATGGGTAGCGCGAGGGATAGCCTGTTTTGCGCAACCAATTTGAACCTCGAGATGACCTCTGATCAAAAAACATTCAACATACAAGTTGTTCGTCTCATCGAAATGGTCAAGATTGCTTTTGGGCTCGTTTCCATCCGAAATCGTTTACCACCACAAAAAAGACCCGCAAGGTGCAACCAGTTCAAACCGAACAGTTTTGAAAAGTTCGGACAAAACCAATCCGAATTTGGCTAGGGTTTTAGACGTGAATCCAAGCCTTTTCCTTGCACGGGAAGTCCAGCCGCCTCTTATATACCTAAGGGGTGACGGCCGATTGAACAACACACAATCGAACAAATCATCTACCACTTTTATCTTTTATCTTTTCTCCTTAACCCTAGTTCTTCTTCTTCCTCGTTCTTCGTTCGTTCTTCTTCATTGCAGGGCGGCGAACCTCGAGGCCCTAGGGGCGATCAGGTCGACCTAGGGCAGCCCATAGCCGTCGCGCGCCCTGACGGGGTCCCTCCCGGGCATGTGGGGTTTTGGATCCTCAAAAGCACCCGCCGGATTGCTTGCGTACCGCGCTTCCGGACGGGTCTCCTTTGACGTGAGCTGCGGTGCATCACCCCCAGCGTCGAGGGTACACGGTGACGTGTTCGTGTGCAAACACACTTTTTGACGACTCCGCTGGGGACGAAGCTTTGAACGGTCTCCAGCCCGTTCTTGCTACGAAGAGATCGTCATCTAGGGTTTGCAATCTACAAAGGTAACATGAATACCCAATTCACTTATGTAGATGCAAATAATACATATGTTGTTGCTAGATCGTCTAATGAGCATATTGTATCGGCTAGCCGTAGTTTTATCAATCATGCATCTAATTATGTGCAACAGCCGATTCAGAATAATCTTCATGCTTCAACTTCATATAATTTTAGCAACATGCAACATATGTATCCCAACTCCCATGCATCGGCAACCCCACAAATCTATATGCCGATGAACAACATGATGAGTTCGGTTAATCATGTTGAGACACCCCATGTAGGAACTTCCAATAGTATGCAACAAAGTGTTTCAACTTTTTATTCATCGGCAAATAACTTGCAGTATGTTAATCCAAACGTGCCGGTGGATAGGGGAATTGGCCATGCCACTACTAGTTATTCGGTCAATTACCCTCAAACATCGTATGCTACACCTCATGCTACGAATTTTTCGGCACCATATGCAATTGTAGATATTCGTGATTCGGCTTCGCACCTTCATGCTCATGGACGAATAAGTGAGAATTCTACCAGAGCGCATGTGTCTTTACCTAGTAACATAGCATATCATGTTGCCCCTGCACAATTACAGAATTTCGGCAACACACCATTGCCGAAAGCGTCTCAAAGTATTGGGGGGGGGGGCAATCCGATGAAGATTGGGCTGAAATTGGTCGAAAAAAGCTTAAAGATAGACTAGTTGCAATGTTTGCTGAATTTAGACAAGAACAAGCAACCTTGCGAATCAAAGAAAGAAAGATTGGTGATTCGGATAA